TATTTTGTGCCAGTGTAAATCTCAATAAACTGAAAATACAGTCGTCAGCAAGATAACTGAGTTTCTGGGACTTAACCCTTTCTAACTTACAATGCCAATGGCCAGATGTTTTATAGTAACTCAACAAACCTGTGCTCAGCCCAGTTGAATTAATGTGACACTTTAAAGTGAAATGTTTTCAATGGATAATTTATAAAGCCTTTTTCAGATAGAGTAAGCCATCTGCACTCCTTTGATGAGGCTGGGGAGATTTTCATTCCGTTTCCATCCTGTACAGAGAATAGGAAGTAAGAGGTAATCTCTCCATGGTCCATCCCCTCTGTGGTTCTGTATATTCTCTAAGAATGGTCAGTACGTTCTTTTGGATTGCTCTAGGGGTCCTTTAACATAAAAATAAAAGTTATGCCCAACCTTCTGGCCATGATTCATGTTGCATCCATTTAGGGTCAAAGCCTGGACCTCCCAACCCCTTTAACCCCCTTTCTTTCTTAATGAATCTTGGGGTTCTTCTTCCCGAATGCTCCAGCCATTATTGAATTTGGTGCAGCTGCGCATGGCTCCACCCGCACGTCATCCATTCACAGGGATCTGTGAATGAGAGACTACATGTCCCATCTGGGTTCTCATTGTAGCACAGGTGAGATGACCTCATGCTACTTGTAGTCCATTGATGTTTTCTCCAGTTCTGTAACCGAAGGTCGGAATTGAGGAATGGAGCTGCAGTTAGAAGAATACCCTGCAAGGAGCCTGAGCATTGCACCTGCAATCCACTGATCATGGTTGCAATGCTTTGCAGGCTCAATTGCAAAATATAAATGAATTAATTTTTTTTTAACCAATGTGGATGTATTTATTTATTATTTGAAAAAGGGAGACTATGCCTTTAAAGCTGAACTCTGGGCAATTACAAAATATACACATGAATTCCTTATTAACACATTTTTTTATTGCAGGTAGTATACAGGTGAAACTCAAAAAATTAGAATATCGTGCAAAAGTTCATTTATTTCAGTAATGCAACTTAAAAGGTGAAACTAATATATGAGATAGACTCATTACATGCAAGGCAAGATAGTTCAAGCCGTGATTTGTCATAATTATGATGATTATGGCTTACAACTCATGAAAACCCCAAATCCATAATCTCAGAAAATTAGAATATTGTGAAAAGGTGCAATATTCTCGGCTCAAAGTGTCCCACTCTAATCAGCTAATTAAGCCATAACACCTGCAAAGGGTTCTTGAGCCTTTAAATGGTCTCTCAGTCTGGTTCAGTAGGAATCACAATCATGGGAAAGACTGCTGACCTGACAGTTGTGCAAAAAAGCATCATTGACACCCTCCATAAAGAGGGAAAGACTCAAAAGGTAATTGCAAAAGAAGTTGGATGTTCCCAAAGTGCTGTATCAAAGCACATTAATAGAAAGTTGTGTGGAAGGGAAAAGTGTGGAAGAAAAAGGTGCACAAGCAGCAGGGATGATCGCAGCCTGGAGAGGATTGTCAGGAAAAGGCCATTCAAAAGTATTGGGGACTTTCACAAGGAGTGGACCGAGGATGGAGTCAGTGCATCAAGAGCCCCCACACACAGACGGATCCTGGACATGGGCTTCAAATGTCGTATTCCTCCTGTCAAGCCGCGCCTGAACAACAAACGTCAGAAGCGTCTTACCTGGGCTAAAGAAAAACAGACCTGGTCTGTTGCTCAGTGGTCCAAAGTCCTCTTTTCTGATGAAAGCAACTTTTGCATCTCATTTGGAAACCAAGGACCCAGAGTATGGAGGGAGAATGGAGAGGCACACACTGCAAGATGCTTGAAGTCCAGTGTGACATTTACACAGTCTGTGTTGATTTGGGGAGCCATGTCATCTGCTGGTGTTGGTCCACTGTGTTTCATTAAGTCCAGGGTCAACGCAGCCATCTCCCAGGAGATTTTGGAGCACTTCATGCTTCCTTCCACAGATGAGCTTTATGGGGATGCTGACTTCATTTTCCAGCAGGACTTGGCACCTGCCCACACTGCCAAAAGCACCAAAACCAGGTTCAATGATTGCAAGATTACTGTGCTTGATTGGCCAGCAAACTCGCCTGACCTGAACCCCATAGAGAATCTATGGGGCATTGCCAGGAGAAAGATGAGAGACGAGAGACCGAATAATGCGGAAGAGCTGAAGGCCGCTATTGAAGCATCCTGGTCTTCCATAACACCTCAGCAATGCCACAGGCTGATAGCTTCCATGCCACGCCGCATTGAGGCAGTAATTGCTGCAAAAGGGGCCCAAACCAAGTACTGAGTACATATGCATGCTATACTTTTCAGAGGTCCGATATTGTTCTATGTACAATCCTTGTTTTATTGGTTCCATGTAATATTCTAATTTTCTGAGATTGTGGATTTGGGGTTTTCATGAGCTGTAAGCCATAATCATCACAATTATGACAAATCACGGCTTGGACTATTTTGCTTTGCATGTAATGAGTCTATCTCATATATTAGTTTCACCTTTTAAGTTGCATTACTGAAATAAATGAACTTTTGCACAATATTCAAATTTTTCGAGTTTCACCTGTAAGTACCTGAATTTAGAGTGGCATGAGCCTTTTGCAATTCCTGCACAGCAGAGTTCAGACAGGGGGAGGAAGAAGTGGTAAAACGAACCAAATAGTTATCCTGCAGTGCAAGAAGCAAGCTGATAGGAGAAGAGATCAGAGTGACAAAGTGATGAGATCATTAGTCTTCCTTTCACTGAAGCAATCACAGGACCTGCAATTGCAATATAACACTAGCAATAAAATGAGGTCTCCTGCCTTGCTAGGCTTTGCTATGTGGGAGAGCTGTGTAGCACAGATCTCCCGTCCTACCACAAATTCACCCCCCTCTCCAAATCACCCCTCCATCACAATCCCCCCTGCTAGCACAGATCCTCCAACCACCCTAAATCCCTACCTAGCACAAATCCTCTCCCCTCCTAACACCCCCCCCCCCCCCTTCCCTGCAAAAATCCTTTTCCCCCGCCTCTCCAAAGCAGAGCACACCTCCTCCCCCCAGGCACAAATCCTCTTATCCCCAGCACAAATGTTTATGCAGATACATTTTCAGGTTTTCATGGGTATTTCAGTTGGTTCTTTTCCATTTGGAGGGCAAGGATCCTTGTGTTAGATTGCTCTCTTTGGATTTTAGATCAGCATATAATACTATTATTCCCCAAATGATTTGAATAAGCAAATTGCTATTCCTTGGCATGAGTCCAATTGTATGTAAATATTGTTACTTTTTACCAGGTAGGCCACACTCTGTGAGAATTCTATGTTTCATGTGCTCCTATTATTTTTATACTGGTTCCCTATAGGGATGTGATTTGAGCCCTCTATTGTACACACTGCTGACCTATGACTGCCCGGCTGGGTATCTGACCATCATATTATGAAGTCTGTGGATGATACAGCACTAGTGGGACTCATCAATCATAGTGATGAATTCAAGTACAGGCAAGGAGTGGAGAAATTGGAGGTGTGGTGCAAAATCAAAATCACTCCAGTAACGTAAAGATAACCAAGGAGACGATTGTGGATTTCAGGATATTACCAGTCCCCCTCCTCGTTTTATTGCTGTGCAATTGCAAAGGTGGTTTCATGTCTTAACTATTTATGGGTGTACAATTTTGATGATCGTGTTCGGAGTACCAATATCACTGTTCAACAAATTTTTTTTTTTTGCCAGTTTTGGAAACAAAAGGATCCATTTCTTAATGAATTTCACATTCTGAGTTCAAATATAACAATGAAATTTGTCAATTGGCTCTAGTTTTTCTGTAAACGGAAAGTTTTCTACTATAGGCGTAATGACTACATAATGCACAATAATTATATAGATAGATGTCTTTCCACAAATATAAAGCAAGTGATATTGACTACATAACAAAGCCTAAATGGCATAATATATTGCATAGGATTACCAAGAAAAATTATAGCCATAAGCTAAGTTGAATCATTTTAATACTTAGGATTCTCACTAGTTTTGTCTTCAGTTTGTGTCGGTTTTGATGGCTTTTCTCTTGTATTCGAGGAAAGGGCTATCTCTTACAACTGCACGTGACTACACGCTTCAGGTTCTTCCTCACTTGACTCAACCACGAAGGATTCTGGTGCTTTAGGAATTGGTAGCACCTCTCCATGAGAAACTGGACGTATTGCCGATGGAATAATTTGGATAGTGCACAGATAACTTTTTCTTCTTATTTAGCCCTTTTACAATTGGAGGCACCATACAAAAGTAACAATTACTGACATGATCTGTTGGCTCTCTCCAAATCATTGGCACAGCGAAAGGCATAGATGCCTTTTTTCCATTCAACCATTGCTCCAGTGCCGTCCCACAAGAATTGCAGCATATATGTGGTGCCCAGCTCTTGTCCTGGTCTCCTATCTTGCAGCCAAAATACAAGTTGTAGGCTTTCTTAATCATTCCTGTTATCCTCCTTTTTTGTGAGATAAAAGTTATTTCACCGCAGATATAGCAGAAATGATCTGCTTTATTCACACAAGTTCGAGGCATTACTGAGTAGCCTATTTAAAACGAAATGTGCTGTCGAACTACAATCAGCTACAGATACTGCAGCTTTTATGCAGTGAAGTGATGCAATTAAAGGCTAATATGCATCATCTCAGTATACATGCAATTCTCTATTGGTCACCAGTATCAATTGCGCAATATGCAGCTGAAGTTGCATCATAATTTTGAATGGCTGACGTCATTAGATGGGTGAACATATCATGGAAACTAGAGCCAATCAACATTTTTAGGGTCATTTTCGTTTTCAGCTCCCCAAAATTATGTAAGATTAGCTAATTTTATGCCCAAAACTTTTTACCTGTTGAACAGTGTATACAATGGATATAAAAAGTCTACACACCCCTACACAGGTTTCTGTGATGTAAAAAAATGAGACAAAGATAAATCATTTCACAACTTTTTACACCTTTAATGTGATCTATAAACTGTACACCTCAGTTGAACAACAAACTGAATCTTTTAGGGGGGGGGGGGGTAGAGTAAGCATAAAAAACTAAAATAATATGGTTTGCATAAGTGTGCACACTAGGGGTGGACTGGCAACTCATGGGGCCCCTGGGCAATAGGAAATCATGGGGCCCCTGTGTCCTTGCCAACACTCAAACCACACCCAAAAAAGCCTATGAAAGGTACCAGGGGCATCCCATGGGGCCCCCTACTGACCCTGGGCCCTCAGGCAGTGCCCGAGTGGCTAAATGGTCAGTCCGCCCCTGGTGCACAGCCTCTTATAACTGGGGATGTAGCTGTGTTCATAATTAAGCAATCACATTCAAAGTCATGTTAAATAGGAGTCAGTACACACCTGCCATCATTTAAAGTGCATCTGATTAACCCTAAATAAAGTTCAGCTGTTCTAGTAGGTCTTTCCTGACATTTTCTTAGTCGCATCCTACAGCAAAAGCCATGGTCCACAGAGAGTTTCCAAAGCATCAGAGGGATCTCATTGTTAAAAGGTATCATTCAGGAGAAGAGTACAAAATAATTTCCAAGGCATTAGATATACCATGCAATGAGTATAAAGTTCCTTCAGAGCGCATGTGCCAGCCTTAATAAAGAAAGAATATCTCATAAATGGTGCACCTTTCAGAGATATTCATTTTACCTACAAGTAAGTTTTTATTATAATACAAAAAAATGGCCACTGCCCCAGTCTATAATTGGCCTTCACAGCAAGGAGCACATGGAAGGGTGACGCATGTCAAACAACAAAAAAGAAAAAAATTCCCTGCTTTAACTTGCCAGCTAGCTTGCACACACAAACCGATTTAACCTAACAGGGGTTTAGTTAGCACACATTTGCAAACACGTGCGTAAACTACAGAGCCTCGTCACGGCACCCCAGTATTCTGTAGTTCCTAACTCTCCAATTTTAAGAGCCCCATAGTAGAGGCACATGTACAGTTGCAAGAAAAAGTATGTGAACCCCTTGGGATTACGTGGAGTTTTGCATGAATTGGGCATAAAATGTGCTCTGAATGTCATCTAAGTCACAACAATAGAAGAACACAGTCTGCAGAACATAATACTACACAAACATTAGATGTTGCCATGGTTTAATTGCACATAACATGTAAACATTGACAGTACAGGGAGGAAAAAGTATGTCAACCTTTGTATTTAATAACTGGTTGACCCTCCTTTGGCAGCAATAACCTCAACCAAACGTTTCCTGTAGTTGCAGATCAGACCTGCACAACGATCTGGAGTAATTTTGGACCACTCCTCTTCACAAAACTGTTTCAGTGTAGCAATATTCTTGGGATGTCTGGTGTGAATCACTCTCTTAAGGTCATGCCACAGCATTTCAATCGGGTTGAGGTCAGGACTCTGACTGGGCCACTCCAGAAGGCGTATTCTGTGCTGTTGCAGCCATTGTTTTGTTGAATTACTTGTATGCTTTGTGTCATTGTCCTGTTGCATCACCCATCCTCTGCGAAGCTTCAGTTGGCGGACAGATGGTCGTACGTTTTCTGCAAAATGTCTTGATAAACTCTGGAATTCATTTTCCCATCAATGACAACAATCCGTCCAGGCCCTGAGGCAGCAAAGCAGCCCCAAACCATGATGCTCCCTCTGCCATGTTTTACAGTGGGGATGAGGTTTTGATGTTGGTGTGCTGTGCCTTTTTTTCTCCACACATAGTGTTGTGTGTTCTTCCCAAACAACTCAATCTTGGTTTCATCTGTCCACAGTATATTTTGCCAGTAGTGCTGTGGAACATCCAGGTGCTCTTTTGCAAACTTCAAACGTGCTGCAATATTCTTTTTGGACAGCAATGGCTTCCTCTGTGGTGTCCTCCCATGTACTCCATTCTTGTTTAATGTTTTCCTTATTGTAGATGTGTCAACAAAAATGTTAGCATGTGCCAGATATTTCTATAGGTCTTTAGCTGACACTCTGGGATTCTTCTTTACCTCATGCAGCATTCTGCGCTGTGCTCTTGCAGTCATTTTTACAGGACGACCACGCCTAGGGAGAGTAGCAACAGTGCTAAATTTCTCCATTTGTAGACAGTCTGTCTTACCGTGGACACATGAACATCAAGGCTTTTGGAGATACTTTTGTAACCCTTTCCAGCTTCATGCAAGTCAACAATTCTTGATCGTAGGTCTTCTGAGAGCTCTTTTCTGTGAGGCATGGTTCACATCAGACAGTGCTTCTTGAAACCAGTAAACCCAAAACAGGTGTGTGTTTTTTAAGGGCAGGACAGCTGTCAGCAACACATCCAATATCATCACACTGATTGGAGTCAAGGTTGGCTCACTCCTGGCTCCAATTAGCTCTGGGAGAAATCATTAAGCTAGGGCCTCACATACTTTTTCCTCCCTGCACTGTGAATGTTTACATGTTATGTGTGCAATTAAACCATGGCAACATCTAATGTTTGTGTAGTATTATGTTCAGCAGACTGTGTTCTTCTATTGTTGTGACTTAGATGACGTTCAGAGCACATTTTATGCCCAATTCATGCAAAACTCCATGTAATCCCAAGGGGTTCACATACTTTTTCCTGCAACTGTATTTAATGGATAGACCAAGGGCAGATGGACCTAAGGGAGCCCACCCCTCCTTAAAGGTACAGGAGCGCACTGGACACCCAGCATGTAGCACAATGGCAGTTAAGGTGTCCAGTGCGCCCCCTCCACCAACAATTCAACAGTACAAAAAAATGGCCACTGCCCCAGTCTATAACTGGCCTTCACAGCAAAGAGCACATGGAAGGGTGACGCATGTCAAACAAAAAAAAATAAAAATTCCCAGCTCAACTTGCCAGCTAGCTTGCAAACAAACCGAATTAACCCATCTAACAGAATGCATTAAAAGCAGGGGTTTAATTTGCACACATTTGCAAACACATGCATAAGCTACAGAGCCTCATTATGGCACCCCAGTATTCTGTAGTTTTTAACTCTCCAATTTTAAGGGCCCCCATAGTAGAGGGAGCCCACCCCTCCTTAAAGGTACAGGAGTGCACTGAACACCCAGCAAGTTTTGTTATAAGCTCACCTGTAGGTAAAATTAAACAAAACACGTTTACTACCACTTCAACTTGTAAGCTCCTCTAGGGCAGGGCTTGATGTGAATGACTTCATGATTATTTAAAAGTCCAACTGAAGTGTCAGTTAGCATTCCAGGTGCAAAGTGGTTCCCTTTGAGTTCTTCAGAAAGTAGCCACAGCCGGAGTAGAAAAGATTGTCCCCTGCCAGCATTCTGTAGAAAAGGACCCTTTGTCTTTGTGTGGAAGCAATGATATCTCTACAGAGGTCTGACACACACCCTATTAGCGCTGTATATCTTTAATCAGCAGGGAGCATGAGCTCTGCTGATTGTAGAGCTGTAAGTCTGACTCAGCTTGGGGCGTATCGAACCTCTGCAGAGAGACCACTGCTTTCACACACAGATCAAGGGTCCTTCTCGGCAATATGCTGCAAAGAACAAGCTTTTCTATTCGGGCTGTAGCGGCTTTCTAAAGACTACAAACTATAAACATCTGAAAACCTTTTGATTTAAACCGAAAGTTCGGTTAGGATTTAAAGAACTCTAGAATATTTTGGTGTCATATGAAAACAGGAAATAAACACATTTTATGAACAAAGTATCTCTCTTATATAAAGTATCTTTTTGTTTTAGGTTTACTTGTTCTTTAAAGAATAACCAGCACAATTCTCTCCGCATCCAAACTAGTTTATTTTGTCCTTTGTATGCAGTTTTAGGCAAGCAAAAAAACAAAGACAATTAAAACAATCCTTTGAACAAGTCGATTTTACAGACTCTGCTGTTTCTACTTCTTTTTGTATAAAAAAAAAAATGATTCTTTTATCTGAGATATACTGAGAAATAATCATAAATCTATTTTCAGTGGCTTCCTATCCTAAAAAAAAAAAAAAAGATAGAAAGAAAACAAATAGCGGTGATAAATAGACGCTCGGTCTTCAAAAGGCATCAAGCACTCTCCGTCCTCAGCCTTTGCTCTGCGTTTTAATTGCAATCCTATCTGAGAATCTGCAAATAATGACTCATCCATTGCTCATTAATCAGATGATGTTATCAAGCGAGATGTGCTGGAGACTGGGAGGAGAGATTAATGGTTTATATTTCCTGTACTGCAAATTCTCAATAAAGCCGCGGTCCACCCCATCGCTGCTTTACATTTCGGAACATCTTTCAGAAGAGCGCAGCTGGCTTCTCGCTCCTTCGCTGCTTCCTAATGCATGCAAAGCTGCACTTCACGGGAATTCAAACTGTAATATTCCAATTTATTATCTACAAATGAACATTAACGCTTTCGCTTCGAAGACGGTCATTGTGATTTTAGGAGCAGTGCCTGACATCCTTGGTAACATAAAAAAATGACCTGCAGTGGTAAAAATAAAAAAGCAGCACTCTCCCCCACAACTTCGCCGCTCTGGGATTCGACACAACTTCTCTTCTTGACCCATTTCCTGTGAGGCAACAAAGACCCACCCCCAGGGAGCACCATCAAGCTGCTTTGAGGGCACCCCTTACGTGTCATTATATGGCACCGTTCTCTGCAGCATTCAAGACCTGCCAGAGGATAGAAAAGGAAGAAGAGGACCTGTATTTTTTTATATATATATATGTTTTGTTTTTTTTTATTTAATATCTGCAGAGTGGCTTACTGGTTAATACTTCTGTAGTCCTTGGACACCAAGCTAGGACACTATCTGCTTGGAATTTGTTTGTTCTCCGTTTGCTTGTGTGGGTTTCTCAGGGACAGGGGCGGACTGACCATTTGTAAACTCGGGCACTGCCCGAGGGCCCGGGGTCAGTAGGGGGCCCCATGAGATGCCCCTGGTACCTTTTTCATAGGCTTTTTCGAGTTTTGGCAAGGACACAGGGGCCCCATGATCCCCTATTGCCCGGGGGCCCCATGAGTTGTCAGTCCGCCCCTGTTCTGGGATCTCCGGTTTCCCACCACACTTCAAAGACATGCTGATAGGTGCCTGTCTAAAATTGGCCCTTGTATGGTAATGTTTGTAGAAGCAGTCTGCATGCCTACGGGCTTGATTTTATACACCTGTGGCCATGGAGGTGATTGGAACACCTGAATCCAATGATTTGGAGGGGTGTCCCAATACTTTTGGCAATATAGTGTATATATGTATAATCAAATCCAGAAGTTCATTAAAGTATAACTAAAGGCAAAAGTTTTGGATAGTGTGGAGAGGGATTAGAACACCTGTCATATTTTATTCCTGTCTGTGTCCTCATTGGGGAAGATCACCCCCCTATTTTTACCCTGTGTACTGCTATCGCGGTACTTTGGGGTTGTCACCAGGGCAGGAACAGAGGAAAAAAAAAAACTTCCAATAGGCATGAAATTGTCCAAAATGTCTTGGTATGCTGATGCCTTAAGAGTTATCTTCACTGAAACTAAGGGGCCAAGCCCAACCCTTTAAATACAACACTACATCGTAATGCCCCCTCCACCAAACTTTACACTTGGCACAATGCAGTCACGCAAGTATCATTCTCCTGGCAACTGACAAACCCAGACACATCCATCGGATTGCTAGACAGAGAAGAGTGATTCATCACTCCAGAGAACACGTCTCCACTGCTCTAGAGTCCAGTGGCGGTGTGCTTTACACCACTGCATCCGACGCTTTGCATTGCACTTGGTGATGTAGGGCTTGGATGCAGCTGCTCGGCCATGGAAACTCATTCCATGAAGCTCTCTATGCACTGTTGTTGTGCTAATCTGAAGGCTACACAAAGTCTTTAGCTATTGACTCTGCAGACAGTTGGTGACTTCTGTGCACTGTGCGCTTCAGCATGCGCTAACCCCACTCTGTCATTTTATGTGGCCTACCACTTTGTAGCTGAGTTGCTTTTGTTCCCAGTTGCTTCTACTTTATTGTAACATCACTAACAGTTGACTGTGAAATATTTAGTAGCCAGGAAATGTCACAAATGGACTTATAGCACAGGTGGCAACCTATCACAGTACCAAGCTTGAATTCACTGATCTACATCTTTGGCCATGGAGGTGATTGGAACACCTGAATCCAATGATTTGGAGGGGTGTCCCAATACTTTTGGCAATACAGTGTATATATTAGGGATGCACTTGTACTCGCGAAAACGCTCCCGATACCTGAAACCAATACTTTGCAGTGTAATTTGCATCCATACAAAGTTAATAAGCGCAAATCGCACTGCAAAGAATAGCATGCAATTTGAACAGGATTGCGATTCCTGTCCAAAACACATGTATGAACCCTTGTTATAGCCTGCGTTCACACAGAAGCAGTGCAGGAAACCTCCTTACACCTATCTCATGCTATCACACAATGAAAAGATCTGGGGAATTGAAATCCACACGGCTTTCTCTTCTCTTCTTGCAGCGGGCTAGATGGTGCTGACCAGTCAGAAGCCATCTAGCCCATACTGTTTATCCTTGCAAGGAGAGGAGATAAATACTGTGTATATATATATATATATATTATTTATTTATTTTTTTCTATTTTTTTTCTTATTATTTTAAATAAATGCTGTATCGTGTGCGTCCCACATTGACATTTAGTAACCATTACCTTAGGCTGATTTGGACTACAGATGCCCTCCCCCTCTCTTTATCTACTTAAACAGGTGGAGGTGTTCTGTATTCTATAAAAGAGAACTGGGAAGGTTGATAACATTGAGATTTCAGAATGCACAGGAAGTTACAAGGACACTGGATTTTTTGGCAGAATCAGGAGGTATGTTTTATTTTTAACTGCAGAAAAAGTACTTGAAGGTACCAGGAAAAAAATAAAACAAATGCAGCCACCACGTCTAAAGACTAGTAAGCTGCAATATATAAAATTTTTTCTAGGATTTAGATACACACAGAGGTCGATTTATAAAGCATTTACAGGGCCGTCACAAAATATCCAACTATCTCTGTAATGTGTCTAACATGTGTGTTTCCTATGATTACCATCTCCATCTAGTGGCTATAATGCAGTGTTTACCTGAAATACTATAATCAGGAAAATCATGACCCCTAGATTGGGGCTCATAGCTATGCAAACTCTGAGGCATACACATGACATATTTTTAATATATAGACCTCTTAGGCTCAGTTCACACTGTATTTGTATGGGCTGCTGTGCATGCATATTTTTGAAAATGAGGCCGCAGGGAAACTGCATGGTCTTTTTGACTGTGCAGTTTCCCTGTGGTTCCTGGTTTGGGTGGAGCTGCATCCTTGCTGCCCCCCCTTTCCTGGCCAACCAGGCTGCATGCTGCATAAAGGCCTGGCATTTATTTTGGGGGGAACCCCATGCCATTTTTTACCTTTTTACTAAATCTTTACTGTCTCTTAAAAGGGTGCACCCCCCAGAAAAAATTCATACCAGCCACTTGCATACCTCCCAACTGTCCCTGATTTCAAGGGACTGTCCCTGATTTGTCCCTCTTTCCTCCTCATTTTGTCCCTCCTTTTGGTCCGATCTATATAGTTGTATATAAAATGCACTTTTTACCTTTCTAAACGTGTTTCACAGTGCTAAACCTTTTACCCAATTTCTCAATTGCTGCATTTGTAAATTTCAAAAGCCAGTATAAAAGAATAGCTGTGGTAGCATAAAAAAAAAAAAAAAACGCTTGTGGGTTTAACTACCGGTAATCCTTTTTTTGTATAGTTCTCCTTTAAGGTGGCATGTCAGAGGGTGTGTCCTATGCCCACATACATTTGCTAGGTGTCCCTCGTTCCAGTCTCAAAAAGTTGGGAGTTATGCACTTGCGCAGTCATGCAGCCTGGGTAGCAAGGGCAATGAGCATGCACTACCACTACTCCTGAACAATACTAGGCCAGGAAAGTATATTGCAGGAGGGGGTGGCATAATTTCATCCTGCCATGCATCTTGTCTCTGTTGAGGGGACAAGGGCATTATCCCAACATTTTGTCCCCTAAAAGGGGTGTAGGGGTTTATAGGGGGAGAATTATTGAAAAGTGAAACTCTCCCTTACAATATAGGGGCTTCCAGATATTTAGTAACCAGGAAATTTTACGGATGGACTTATTGCACAGGTGGAAACCTATCACGGTACTACGCTTGGATTCACTGAGCTCCTGGGAGCGACCCATTCTTTCACAAATGCTTGTAGAAGCAGTCTGCATGCCTAGGGGCTTGATTTTATACACCTGTGGCCATGGAGGTGATTGGAGCACCTGAATCCAATGATTTGGAGGGGTATAGGGATATAGCGTATTTTCCTAACAGCAAATCTTTTTCAAGTACCACTTGAGAAATATCTATTTCTTTTATGTATTCCTTAAAGTAGCTGCAGACTATTTTCTGAATTTCTGTGTTTACCAAATGAACAATGTGTGCTTAAAAACAATTATGATTGCTTACAGCAATACTTTGCAGGGATTTATCAGGCCAGTTCCAGACAGAAACAGGCATCTGACCAGTACAAATCCAGCTGCCTCTCATTTAGCAAAGGATTTTCAACAGGTCTTATACATATTTGTGACCCATGCATTTGCAATTTCAGATAGCTGACTGTGTCGGCTTTGCAGCCATCTGCGACAGATCTGTTATGTTTTTCTGCTTACAGTTAAACATGCCTCCTGAAAAAAAATGGGCTAAAGAAGTGATTTATATTGGCGCCGTGCTGCTTTTTAGCAGCAGAATAAGAACTTATGAATCAAGCTGCGATCTTTGAGTAGAAGCCTGACTCATTATCTATCTCACTGCTCCTGTTTCGCTCTGCCTTGCTGTGCGGCCAAGTTGATAAATCTTCCTCTGTATTTTTTGTACTTATTATTTGCTAAATTGTAAAGCTGTTAAGCTAGTGTATTTAAAGCTGGAGTTTAGTGATTTTCTTTTCTATTTAAATCAGCACCAGGGACAATATTTGTATAAATGATGATTGTCCCATGTGCTGATGGCTGCTCTGTTCCTTGAAATGTTTATTCCTTTGCTCCCAGGAACTCCCACATCTGTGGTGTTCAAGTTCTGTAGGCGTTAACACAAGTGTGCCCACTTGTCATGGGTACTCGTCAAAAGTGCTGATTATGTCTGCCCCCTCCATTCATAGAAACCATACTATTGGTTTCACACAATGAAAAGTGCTCTATGAATGAAGGACAGTCAAGTCTACTGGCACTGAGAACCAGTGTGAATAGTATACTGTATCTGGATAACATTTTCTCCAACAAATATTAATACTTCTTTTGCTGGTAAATCTTTAAAGAACAAATCTCACTTCCATTATTATTGTTCTATGTTCCTCAGGGGACAAAATATATGTAGCACATTATCCCATTTTCCTGTGCGCTGTGTAAGGCTAGCTGTGAGGTCAAACTGGACTTCCCTCCTCCCTCTATGGCCGTCCGACAACACAGCTAGCAAGGAGATACCTGCTTTGACTAATGACACTTCTCTCCATTTTCAAGCACTCCCCCAAGACAAGATACGCATGAGGAATGCAGATGGAGGGGGGCTTGTCAACTAAAATATTCTTTCCAAATGCTTGAAGATGGAGAAAAGTGTCTTTTGTCAAAGCACAATGCTAGCTACGTCTTAGTATGGCCATGGAGGGAGGAGGACCATCCTGTCCAACCTTACAGCTAGGCTTAGACAGCACATAGGTGCAGTGGTGTATTCATTTCTTGTGCTGCCCTAGGCAACAAAAGAATAGGGCGCCACTACCCTCCACGACCGCCGGCCACCAACCCTGCCGCCAACACCTGATCACCCACCATCCACTGTCTGCCCCCAATCATTCAATTAAAAGAATTAACCTGAAGAAGAAGCATCCAGGCAGCCTCCTCTCCAGGTCCTCGGCCCAGCCACTTCTTCCAAGGGGGCCGCGTCGTCCCCCTGAAAATTGCCGCCCAAGGCAAATGCCTTGCTTACCTCACAGTACATATGCCAATGCATAGGAGGATGGGGCTACAGGTATTTTTAACAGAACATATTAGCCACTTGCCCTCCAGAAGATTTAACCCTTTTTATGACCAGACCATATTGGTCATATTTGATTTTTTTATTTGATTTTTTTGCACTATAAATGAAAAAACACTAAAATGTTTTTGCTATAAAACATATCCAATAAAAAAAAAAAATTTTAAATCTAATTTCTTCATAAATTTATGCCAAAATGTATACTGCTAGATGTCTGTTAAAAAAAATCCCCAAAAGTGTATATTAATTGGTTTACATGAAAATTATAACATCTACAAACAATGGTATAGATACTGGATTTTTTTTTTTTATACTAGTAATGGCGGTGAGAAGTGACCTATAGTGGGACTGTGATAGTACAATGGCCATTCTGACTATAACGGACATTGGGTTGGAACTGACTAACTGCTACTGGCACCTCCAGTGGCACTAATAGAGTGATCAGTGCTAATAACAAGCACTGTCACTGCACTAATGACACTGGGCAGTGAGGGGTTAACATCTGGGGTGATCAAAGGGTTAATGGTGTGCCAGGGAATGTTTTTACTGTGTACTGTGTAGTGTTTTACTAGGGGATGTGCTGGTTTTTATTCCCTGCTTTGCAGGGAGATAAAAACCAACACATCCCCGCTGACAGGCGAGAGATCTGTGTTGTTTACATTCACAGAACTCTCTCCTGTCTTTTCCATGCCCCCTATCAGGAAAGGCAGAATCACGCATATATTCGAATATTCAGTAAAGCTTCATGGGGCGGTCCACAACTGGTTAAAGGCTTTGCATTGTCCAACATGTTACACCTGTATTTACGATTTAACATGTAAAATGTTGCTAAGCAAACCCCTCTCACCCCCAGAATGCCTCCCAGTCAGGGGCAGACTGACAACTCATGGGGCCCCCAGGCAATAGGGGATCATGGGGCCCCTGTGTCCTTGCCCAAACTCAAAAAAGCCTATGAAAAAGGTACCAGGAGCATCTCATGGGGCCCCCTACTGACCCCGGACCCTCGGGCAGTGCCCGAGTTTCCAAATGGTCAGTCCGCCCCTGCTCCCAGTGACAGAAAAAAGTGTCTTCCACTGTGGCAGATGGACTTGCAGTTCTGAATGAAACACAACTGTGGTAATCACTGCACTCATAGTCCATTGACATGGCCTCCAGTTCTGCAACTGAAAGCCCATATCTCAGTATAGGCAGGGAGCTTGAGAAAGAGTCTGTAGGAGCCTGGTCTTGCATCGAAAATCCACTAATCGCAGATGCAATGCCTTGCAGACGTCTCTGAGAAAAAAAATAATGCACATTTTTTCCCTGCAAAAATATATGCATTTATTATTTTTTAATGTGAACTTATCCTTTAATGAAAAATCGAAGTGACACTTCTTTAAGGGATTATAGGTAGGGGCTCCACCCCGATTCTCAGGATCCACAAAATGAGCAAATCCAATGCAAACAAATTAAAAAAATCTTGAGGCCCAATGGCATTTTGTGGAGTCACTCTTTCTGCATTGCCATACCCCAGAACAATAGCACAACTGTACAGCAGGTATTGAAGGCCACAGGTCTGAAATGTTGGGTTGTTTCATTGTGGTAAGGCAGAAGAAAATGGGAGTAATCCAGGAAATGTGGGGGAGCCTCAGGATTGTGAAACACTTTATTTAAACTTAAAGTGATTGTAAAGTTGTTGTTGTTTTTTTAATAAAAAACATGTTATGCTTACCTGTTCAAATTGCAAAGAACAGCCCCAATCCTCCTCTTCTGGGGTCCCCCACTGGCGCTCCAGGTTCCTTCTCTTCTTGTTGTGCCACCATAGGAAGCAGCTTCCTGTTGTGGCACACCTGCAGACTTGATCTCGAGCCGCTCTGCCTATGTCCATAGACATGGACAGCATGGCTCAACCCGCCCCCTCCTTCATCATAGGCTTTGACTGCCATTGGTTCCCGCTGCCTCAGGAAAGCCTGGGAGAATGGGGAGAGCTGCTACACATAGGCACAGCACTGGATGGAGTAAGAGCACAGATAAGCATAAGGTGGGGGGGGGTTGAGTGGCCGGCAGGGGCGGACTGACCATTTGGAAACTCGGGCACTGCCCAAGGGCCTGGGGTCAGTAGGGGGCCCCAGGAGATGCCCCTGGTACCTTTTTCATAGGCTTTTTTCAGTTCGGGCAAGGACACAGGGGCCCCATGATCCCCTATTGCCCGGGGGCCCCATGAGTTGTCAGTCCGCCCCTGGTGGGCAGCATTACTACCTAAACATTTCTTAGCATAAGAGCAGTGTGGTGGGCAAGCACACAGCTCTCTTTTCTCTTTTGTTTTGTACAAACTTCATTTGAGGTGCACAAAAGTACATGGTACTTTACAGCAGCATGGCTGCATTGTATCACTCCGGGCAGCATAGCAGTGTAAACAATACATACAAAAAACAAATGTTTTTGTGTGTCCTTGCGGTGACAAGCAGTAAAACGCTTGTCACCACACTATGTGTGAATTCGCCCTAATGCAAGGAATGCAGTAAGGTAAAAAATGTTTAGCCTTTGGAACCACTTTAGGCATCCCCCAATACTTAATCTGTATATATATATATATATAGATAGTGGTCATAAGGTTATGGCTGCTTGGTGTGTGTGTGTATATCTATCTATATATCTATCTATCTATATATCTGACAGGTTAAGTTGATAACATTGATTTTCCTATTACAATGGCATCTGAAAGATGGTGGAATATATTAGACCACAAGTAAACATGTTGTTTATGAAGTTAATGTCTTGAAAGTGCAAAAAAATGGGTTTTGCAGTTTGGGGCTGTGTAGCCACAGACCTGTCAAGCTGCTCATGTGGACCAGTGCCCACAGCCAAAAGAACCTACAATGAGCACTTGAGCATAAGAACTGGACCAAAGAGCAATGGAAGAAGGTGGCCTGCTCTGATGAATCATACTTTCTTTTACTTCATGTGGATGCAATGATTACATAGGGAAGAGATGGTACCAGGATGCAATATAGGAAGAAGGCAAGCCAGCAGGGGCAGTGTGATGCTTTGAGCAATGTTCTTCTGGGAAACCTTTGGTTCTGCCATTTATATGTTTGTTATTTTGATACGTACCACCTACCTAAACATTGTTGCCGACAAAGGACACCCCTTCATGGAAATGGTATTCCCTGATGACAGTGGCCTCTTTCAGCAGGATAATGCACCCTGCCACACTGCAAAAATGGCTCAAGAATGGTTTGAGGATCACAGCAGCAAGGTTAATGTGTTGACCTCCACATTATCCAGATCTCAATCCAATCGAGCATCTGTGGGATGTGCTAGAAAAACATAGAGGCCCCACTTTGCAACTTACAAAACTTAAGGGTCTGCTACTGACGGCTTGGTGCCAGATACTACCGCATGCCTTCAGAGGTCCATGCTCCAAAGGGTCAGGGCTGTTTTGGCAGCAAAAGGGGATCTACTCAATATTAGGTGGGTGGTGATTAATTTATGGCTGATCGATGTATATATATAGATATATATTAGTAAATTAAAGTGCATATTATGAAAATAGAGACTTGCTTCCAAGTCACCAGCAACCCATTTTCCTCTGTCATCTCCTTTCTCTTGGTTTACATGTCACACACATAGCATCCCCAGGCAATAAAATCTATTAACAATCAGGTGATCTTTTCTCTTTATGGGTGTAGCACCCTTCTACATAGGTGATAGTTTAGGTGAATTTGGTTCCTAAAGTGGTTCCAAAGTCTCAAGGTTTTTTACCTTCATGCATTTTATGCATGAAGGTATAAAAACCTTCTTTGTATAGCAGCTACCTAACACTTACCTGAGCCCCTTCTGATCCAGTGATGTCCATGAGAGCCTCATTTTTTAATTGGCTGAGGAAGCAGTGGGAGCCATTGGCTCCCACTGCTGCCAATCACAGCCACTGAGCCAATCAGGAGAGAGAGAGGGGTAGGGCCAAGCCACAGCTCTGTGTGTGAATAGACACACCGTGCAGTGGCTCAGGAGCATGCCTGTGCTGGTGCCCCCATAGCAAGCTGCTTGCTGTGGGGGCACCCAACAGGAGGGAGGGGCCAGGAGCACCTGCAGGGGACCCGGAAAGGGGAGGATCCGGGCTGCTCTATGCAAAACCATTACACAGAGCAGGTAAGTATAGACATGTTTGTTATTTTTAAGAAAAAAAAAACAAGACTTTAGTATCACTGTAAGCTCTCCTGTAATCAGTGGAGCTGCTTGTGATAGCTTTGGTCTGCTCTGAAATTCCCAGGATGTGTAGGTTTGACTGCTTGCCCCCTGTTCTCTGGATGGTTCTAGAAAGTAGTGAGCTGGGAGAGTCAAATCTACAGTATGAATATTTATGTACTCCCAGCCAATCCCTGGGGGAGGGTGCCCAGTAGGTGGCTGGGTGAGTGCATAAATAGTTTGAGGCCTGGAGCAGAGGGGTTCTTGTCCATGAGGAAGAGATCCCAGCCTAAAGGGCTGCTGCCCTTCTGGACAGTCCAGCTGTGCTTCTTTATTTGATCAACAAGGTCCCAGCTGTCGTAGCTGGGGCACCTATTTTACTGAACTTTGCTATAGCAGGGTGGAGCTGGCTGTAATTGACAGTCCTCTCCCACACACCACTTCTACCTGCAGCTATGGTGCGTCTACTACTGTTTAGTGGGTTTTCGAGACACAATTTTGGCCACTGTTGCATCATACTATAGACATTGGGCCTAATAGTAAATATTTAGCAATTTCAATTGTACTTTGAATTGGGCATAGGTGTGCTTTAAGATACTCTTGATAAATACGGGCCTGTAACCAAAAATGTGCTAAAAATGTTTTCTTGTGTTGGGTTACATATTCTGTCTATTGTAAATGAAGTTCGCGGAGTACAAATGTTATTGTACAAAGAAATGGTTACATTGTAGCAATTCTTTCAGATCTTGTTTGTGTTTGAAGAAGCAATTTCCACTACTTGTGTTTGTGAGGGATTTTTCTGTTCATTGAAGTTGCTTCTATATAATTCAGGAATGCCCAGCTGGTCTTATCATGAGAAAATCTCAATTGCTATAGAGTTGTGCTGCTCTTATTTATACAGTATATAAAGGAATTGTCAGCAAGAAAAGATCAGTCCTTTCTTCAACGTATACTTCACTGACTTATACTTTTTCTGGATGGATGGCCTAAAGGGCTACCAATAAAAGTGTGAAACAATAAGGGGTTTTATTTTATGACTGACTCCCTTATAAGAGTGATAGCCACAGATCACTTTTAAAAGTTGCAAAAAACTAGTAGTTGTGGAAAGTCAGTGGGGTTGATTTACTAAAGGCAAATAATCTATTCACTTTGCAAGGGAAGTTGCATTTTCCAAGAGAATTTGCCCCTTAGAAAATTGAATGTGGGGAAGTTTCACTTTGCAGAGAATACCCAAAAATGTGCAAGGAAAATAAAAACAGCATTTATGCTTGCACCTGATTGAATGAAGGTAGCAAGCTCAACTTCACCTCATTCACTAAGCTCTGTGGACAATTCCCTTGCCAAGTGCAACTTCCTATGCAAAGTGAACCGCCTATTTAACTTTAGTAAATCAACCCCATTGAGTTACCGAATGTTCTTATAGAGCACTTTGTAGCCATAGTGAAAACCTTCCAGGGCTGAATGGTGGTGGACCCCAGCTGTAATTGGCGGGTTTCAGTACTGAGCCATTCTTATAAAAGAAACACATTTGCTCTTCAGTGCACCGCGCAACACAAATGTAATGTGCCTTGTGGAGCTATGCATTGGCCAGAAATAATGCAAGTAAGTAATGTGTTGGCATTCATGAAGGGCCCATTCAAAGGGAATGGCCTGCTTATAAGTGCAATAAATGAATTAACTCATGTGCTGCCAAAACTATTAAATCTAAATGATGTTAAGAAGAATGCTGCTAACACCCAGTTGTGTGACACCCCACAGTTTACAAAGTAAGCAAATAATCTATGGTGCAGCGCAATCCCATCAGCCAATGAATATAGGTATATACAATCTGTGTGAATTGATGCCACAACCTGCCTTTAAGTGCAATTCCCGGTCTCGTTTCCTGCCCCCCCCCCCCCCCAGTCTTTTCCCTGAAGTCCCCCTCATTCACTAAGCTCCTGAGAAAATTCCCTTGCAAAGTGCAACTTCCTCTACAAAGTGAACAGCCTATTTGCCTTTAGTACATCAACCCCATAGAGTTACCAAGTGCTCTTATAGACTTTGTAGCCATATTGGAAACCTTCCAGGGCTGAGTGATGGTGGACCCCAGCTGTAACTGGTGGGTTTCAGTACTTCACCATTCTTATAAAGAAACAAATTTGCCCTTCAGTGCACCACGCAACACAAATGAAATATGCATTGTGGGGCTTTACATTGGCCAGAAATAATGCAGGTAAGTTTTCTATGCTTTGACATTCATCAAGGGCCCATTTAAAGGGATTGACCTGCCTTAAAGTGCAATTCCGGGCCATTTCCTGTCTTTCAGTCTCTCCCCAGGAGTCTCCCTGCCTCAGAAGAATGTTATATCTTCTTTTTATATACATATCTTTTTCAGGCCAGTCATGTGACTCACTGAGTCCTCTTCATCCCCAAATCTTCTCTTGGTTGAGGGTGGTCCTTGATGGAGTACAATTGTTTGGGGTCAATACAGTCTGTATGTATTTCAGACACTTTTACAAATGATACTCTCCAGTCATGCAGCTTTTGGAACTTCCTTATAGCAATAAATAAATTGTTCTCCTTGTCCACAGTACAGTGAAATCGCAGTTTGTCAGCCAAAGTTGTGAGAGGATTCGTTTCCTGCCCATAGGTGTTAGCAATTGAGGTCAAGTGCAGCTGTCAGGCAACAAATCGTTAGCTGTGTAATAATGTGCTAATGGTCATTTCATGATTGAAAACACCTCTTTGAGGTAATTAGAAGTACTGTTCATTCCATAGATAAACATCCACACATCCATCCGGCTCTTTGTCCTCTGCGAGATGTCACATTGACACATTACAGAGAGGCATCGAGATGTGGCCAATGATAACATTAATCATTTGGACTTTTTGTATATCCAGGGTAAGCAGCTATGAAAGACCATATTTTCTTTTTCCTGTTTTGAACGCCTCAAGTTTTTAAATCTATCAAAAGGTTTTCTTTTTTGCAACATGTGTTAGTCTGGTAAGCTAATACTGTATATATGAAATGGCTAAAATGGGGCATTTGGTGCTT